TCTTTCTGTCAACGAATTCCACTGTATGCAGCCAGTGCTTCCCATCCCATTATATCTCTCTAAGGTCCAAACCATTTGTAGTGTTATATATTTTAATAGTTTTTATGATGCAAAATCTGACTCCAGTTTACAAGCAATACAAGTAACAGACACACACATTTTATTTGCACTTTTTAGTATGTTATTGTAGCTCGAGCATTCAAGCACCATGTTTCTCTTTGTTAAACTTGAATTCTACTGAAGAAACAAAGTGACCTACATCTTGGATTCCCTGGGGGTAAGCAGATAAACATCAAATTTTCATTTTTGGATGAACTATCCGTTTAATCAAACAGCAACAACACGGAAATCACTCACCGCTCTTGATTGATTAACTTTTGAATCTTTAATTTATAGTCAAATATGCAATGTTATTTTACATTTGATTACTTTTATTCAATTTCTGTACCTAAAAACTAATGTTAGACCTACCTAAAAAACCTGAAAAGATTGCGATATCGATGCTGAAACGATATATCGTGCAGCCCTAATACAGGTGCTTTAAAACATGATTTTCTCCCCCTTTCACTTCTAGTTTAGTTTATTGTAATTTACCTCTAATTTACGGTGGCCGAGAGAGCTCGACGCGCGGCACCTTAAGAAAATACATGCAAATAGAAAAGCACCAGTAAATGAAGAGAACATCATTTTGACATTTTTTGATGTGCTGCAAATACTCACAACACAACCAAATACAAAAATGTGATGCAAATACTCACAACACAACCAAATACAGAAACAAACTGCAAATACTCACAACACAACCAAATACAGAAACAAACTGCAAATACTTACAACACAACCAAATACAAAAACGGGCTGCAAAAATGGAAACGCACTGCAAATACTCACATCGCAACGAAATACAGAAACGCACTGCAAGTAGCACAGACCACAACAGAACCCTTACGAAAATTAACCATGGCTTTACTACTACGAATAAAACAACAAAAAAAACATAGTTACTGTAGTTAAACCATGGTAACCTCAAATTAACCATGGTTTTACTACACCATGATATTTGTAGTAAAACTGGTTATTCAAATGGTAGTAAAAGCCAAAAAAACATGGTTACTACACTTTTACTATAATAAAACATGGTTAATTTTAGTAAGGGAAATGTTTCAAGGGGACCCCAACAATGCTTACGAAAATTAAGTTTTATTACAGAAAATGTGTAGTAACCGTGTGTGTGTGTGTGTGTGTGTGTGTTTTTTCCGTATTGACCACAGTTGTACAAATACCATGGTTAACTAGGGCCCAATGAAATCAGTTTTATTTTTAGCCAAATTCTGTTTTATTTTAAGCAACTTAATTTATTACAAATTATTTTTTCAAAAGCCCTATAAACCCCCCCCCTCAGAAATTCTGTGCTGTGTATTTAAATTTTTCTGGTTATCAAATGAAGGCATAAAACAGTAATTTTATTTATTTTAATCAGCAAACTTTATTTTTGGCAAACAAAGGGGGTTTATTAAAATTATAACATGGGAGAAATATTGTGATTATTCCTTAAAAAATTATGTTTTAATCATTTAGTAGTAGTAGTGGTGGTGGTAGTATTACGTACATTCTACTGCACAATAATATATTTCTGACACAATGTATTCCAGTTAAACCGAACTTTTGTTTTCGCTTCAGTATGAGTAGTAAACGAAACGGTGCTTATGCTCCATTAACAGAGACGCAAAGAACATTTATGATTCATATTTAAAGTATTTTTTGTGGCTTAATATTTACAGATACTAGACCATATCACGATTTGGTTTAAGATTAATGACCTACTTTTGATTAATTCATCCAAAGTTTGACAAATTCCGTGACATTCCGCGTTATACCTGTACAGTAAATTCCGTTTTATGACTGAATTCCGCGATGTCATCCACATTTTCCGCATCACCTAAATGATAGGGCCCTGGTTAACCTATGGTTAGTGTAGCAAAACCATGGTTAATATGTGGTTACTAGGGGTGCAATGGTTCTCGGTAAAAAATCGAACCGTACGGTTCTCCACACACGGTTCGGCATGCACTAGGACCGCAGTTCAACTTAAATCTGACAATGCATCTGTAATATGGTTTGTTAGATTTCGGCTAATGCATGTTTCTGTTGATGGATACAAATTCTGGCTTCCCAATACATTACAACAAGAGCGATGAGAGAAAAAAAAAACAATACGTGGACAAACCAGTCACTCTTTAATCAATGCGAGTGCTTTATGCTGGAATAACTGTCATTTATGCCGTCATCACGTGTTGATAGCGCAGGTGAGACCTGAACAGCACACATTGCTATCTGTGTTTAAACTAAACTCATTTAAGCCTGGACAGTTTAAATATTAAAGAGCCAGAAGACGTGAACTCGCGCGCAGTGAGAAGATCTGTGTGGTCGCTCATCCGAAGCGCGTGAACCAGCGTCTCAGAACGCGTGCAAATATTAAGCTCTCTGTGAAGTATTGTGTTTGAATGGACAAATTCACACAAAAATTGTCAAAATGCCTGTCTTGGTGAGTAATCCTAGCAGACATAATCGGCTGAATGTACAGTATCGGTGCACTGGATCAGTGCCTTCTCTTAAAGTGACAGCACTTTCTTAATGTTAATCAAACAGCAACAACAAAGAAATCACTCACTGCTCTTGATTGAATAACTTTTGTAACTTTAATAAGGATTAATCTTTAATTTATACAGTCAAATATGCAATGTTATTTTACATTTTATTTATTACATTTCTGTACCTAAAAACTGTTAGACCTACCCAAAAAAACTGAAAAGCTCTGTTTATTTTATTTGTATCTTTTTTCACTGTTTATTTATTTGTGCTGTTGCTTCTAGTTAGATTATTTGTTCTTATTTT